CTCCATCTCCCCTCTCTTCCACACCTCTCCTCCTCTCCCCCTCCTTCCCTCCCTCTCCTGCACTCTCCCTCTTTCTCTCCCCACTATCTCCCTCTATTCCTCTCTCTCCCCTTCTCTCTCCCTCCCTCTCACCCTCTCCCTCGCTCTCTAACTCCCTCTTCTCTGTCTCCCTTCTGTCCCCCTCCATCTCTCCCTCCCTCTCCTCTTTCTTCACACTCTCTCCTTCTCCCCCTCCCTCACTACCCCTACACTCCCCCACCCTCACCAATTGGGTGAAACCTGCCCATTGACACACACACACACACACACAAACATTCACACACTCTCACACACACAGACACACACACAGACACAGATACAGACACACACACACACACAGACACACTCACACAAACATTCACACACACACACACAGACACAGATACAGACACACACACACACACACAGACACACACACACACAGACACACTCACACACACACACACACACACACACACACTCACACACACACACACACACAGCAGACAGACAGACACACACACACACACACATGCAGACACACATACTCATACACACAGAAGCACACACACACACAGACACACACACAGAACCAGCTCTAACTTGGCCTGGACAGGGGATGGGTGGGGGTGGGGGGGGGTGGAGGGGTGTGCGCATGGGGGATATGAGCTGGGATCCCCCAGGCCCCAGCCCCGTGCCCCCTGACCCCAGGAATGCAGACAGCTGCCCCTGTGTCTATTCCTGGGTACACACAGTGGGATCTGACAGGACAGCTGGACGTGACTCCTTCCCACACCTGCCGCATCCTGCAGGGGGAGGGGAATTAGTTCTTTCTCTGATGGGGGTGGGGGTGGTGGTGATGGTGATCACTCTGGTGTAGGAGGCGATAAACAAATGTATGTCTCTGTCTCCTGTTGATCCCCAAACTAATCCCACTGCCCCACTCTCCCCCCATAGCCCCGTATCACTCCCCAAACTAACCCCACTGCCCCGCTCTCCCCCCATAGCCCTGTATCAATCCCCAAACTAATCCCACTGCCCCGCTCTCCCCCCATAGCCCTGTATCACTCCCCAAACTAATCCCACTGCCCCGCTCTCTCCCCCCATAGCCCTGTATCAATCCCCAAACTAATCCCACTGCCCCGCTCTCCCCCCATAGCCCTGTATCACTCCCCAAACTAATCCCACTGCCCTGCTCTCCCCCCATAGCCCTGTTTCATTCCCCAAACTAATCCCACTGCCCCGCTCTCTCCCCATAGCCCTGTATCACTCCACAAACTAATCCCACTGCCCCGCTCTCTCCCCATAGCCCCGTATCACTCCCCAAACTAATCCCACTGCCCCAATCTCTCCCCACAGCCCTGTATCAATCCCCAAACTAATCCCACTGCCCCGCTCTCTCCCCACAGCCCTGTATCAATCCCCAAACTAATCCCACTGCCCCGCTCTCACCCCATAGCCCTGTATCAATCCCCAAACTAATCCCACTGCACCCCGCTCTCCCCCCATAGCCCTGTATCACTCCGCAAACTAATCCCACTGCCCCGCTCTCCCCCCCATAGCCCTGTATCACTCCCCAAACTAATCCCACT